AGGCCTTTATAGTCAAATAGAAACACAAGGAATGGACATTAGACCAGTGGAAACCTGTGCTTTGGTCTGGTGAGTCCAAATTGAGGTTGTGATGGTGTAGGGGCACTTTGTTGGTGACACTGTTGGAGATTTATTCAAAACTGAAGGCACACTGGACCAGCATGGCTATCACAGCATCCTGTAGCTACATGACATCACATCTGGTTCGCGTTTAGTTGGAGCATCATTTAGTTTTCAACAGAACAATGACCCCAAACATACCTCCAGGCTGTGTAAGGAATATTTCACCAAGAAGGAGAGTGATGGAGTGCTGCACCAGATAGCCTGGCCTCCAGAGTCATCTGACCTAAACCCAGCCGAGATGGTTCCAGATGAGATGGACCGCAGAGTGAGGCAAGAGGGCCAACAATTGCTCAGCATCTCTGGGAACTCCTTCAAGACTGTTGAAAATCCACTTCAGGTGACAACCTCATGAAGCTCATTGAGAGAATGGCAAGACTGTGCAAAGCAGTAATTAAAGCAAAGGGTGGCTATTTTAAAGAATCAAGGATATTAAACATGTTTTGAGTTATTTCACACTTTTTTGTTTACTAGATAATTCCATATGTCTTCATTCATAGGTGCATTCCTTCAGTTAGAATCTACAATGTAAATAACCATGAAAATAAAGAAAAATCATTAAATGGCTGGTAATGTATATTTATACACATATCTATATGGACATCTTCTGCTGCATTTATCTTTTTTGTTGTATTAATGAATAAAAGAAAGTTAAAAGAACTACTAAATAGGCACTATAAAGTCCTATATTTGTGAATACTGATAAATCTTTAAACCTTTCAGTTAAAAAAGAGGAGGAAACCATTTATGATGATGTGAAAGTGAAACATAAAGCAACGGAACAAACTCCTGACACAAACAGTGAGTAATAAAAAGAAATCACAAATCCACCTGTAATCATGTCTAACACTGCAAAGATTTTTTTAAACTTTTACTACAAGATGTGGTGATGAGTACTAATCAGCTTCTAAATTCATTTACAGTGTGTTTTCATGCTATTATCCTTCATGTTCATAAGGGTTGATAGGAGAGTACACTCTATAAAGGCTTTCATGGTAAAAGACAGGGGAGAGCAGGCCTTATACAGTACAGAATGCGTTCAGCTTGTCAAATGTACATAAATCTTCGATCGCTAGCAATGTGACTCTGAAGTGCTGTACTATATGTTTGTAAGTTTTCTCTCCAACAAACACAACAATGTTAACAAAATGGTTTGCACCGTCAAAGGCAGCTGCGGCTGCCTTTGGTTTCACTCTATAATAGGCTACTGGACTTAGTTTTCTACCAGTTTGAAATTTGAGAATGTTTAACCTCCTACGACCTGGCGTCCACATATGTGGACATCACATTTTGGGTTATTTATACCAAAATACTCAATTTTGCTCTACAAGGGCCTGATATCCACTTACGAGGACATTATACTGCTACTG